AATATAATATAAAACAAATATATCATCTTAATATAATATAAAACAAAAATATAAATCTAGTTGAAGTCATACCTGCATATGGTTAATTACTATTTCTCTTTGAGTTTTCAATAAGCATTAAAAGCAATTTATGAGTAGGCCAATGATTGAGATTCATATATACAATAACAAGAAGTGCTAATATTTTGTGTAGACCGGTAATACCAACATGAATATGGATTTTGTATGGCAAGTTTTTTATAAACATAAAGGCTTTTTCAACACCTGAATTAGCAGATGGCACCATTAGAACTCCAATTTGAGGATGAAAATCAGATAATCCATTCTAAATAGACAAGGATTAAAATTATAGCTTAAATGATTGTAATTATTTTACTTTAAAAATTATATTTTATTCATTAAGATCATTACATAATTTTTGTATCGCTTGAAAATCTCTTTCAGTTAGCTGCATTGAAAAAGTAATTGAAAATAATCTGATTAATGTAACAAAGATACTTACAAAATGTTCATTTGAAATTGAATATTTACGAATATATATATCAACTAATGTACGAGCTTCATGTTCAAGTTTTTCATATGAAAATAATTTATTTTTTATCAATGAATATTCATAAATTAACTGAAATAGAAATTGAAATGATCATAAATTATTTAGTTAACTTGAAGCAACGTGAAAAACAATAAGAATAATGAAAAGAGACGAGTAATGAAGACAAAGAATACAAAAACACAAAAAACGCTTGTGAAGAAAAAAAACATTTACTTACTGCTTCTTGATGAAATATCTCTTGATGTTGAAAAGCTTTTAAACTAAGTTCTGCATCTTTCTTTTCTAACAACATTTGTCGTCGTAATTTGTGAGTACTTCGAAGAAGTACATTGATTCCTGTGATCGATATATTTTGCGAAGCTTTACCTTTTGGTTTCACGATAGATCGAAGACGATGTATATCTTTATCATATGCATCTTGTTCAGATTTTGATATATTGAAATGCTACATTGATTCATCATTTGACAAAGTTACACGTTCATCAACATTATCGTTTGAGATTGCTATAAAAGAAGATTCTTCATTGAAAAAGAAATTGAGAAACTCACTGAAAGTATGATTTGATTCTTGCTTGGTTGTCGTTGATGTTGTATTATTTGATGTTGCTGCTGATGTTGTACTGTTTGATGTTGCTGTTGATGTTGTATTTTTTGATGTTGCTGTTGATGTTGTACTGTTTGGTGTTGCTGGAATACTATTACTCATTTTTTTCGCTGCTAAAATACAATGAATTCGGAAATACACATAAATAAATTAGATTTTGTTTCATCGCAATACCTCGTGGTAATAAAGCTTTATGTACGGCCACAACCGGTTGTGCTGGTACTGAAAATATTAGGAAATATTAGATTTGCATGGCATATAAATGCGCTTTATAATTTAACACTTGACAGAACTTAATATTGATGCCTTGGGAAGATACTTGAATCCTTTGACACCTAACGGCATCCAATATAAGTAAGAAGCTTCTAATAGTTTAACCTCATGAAGCTCTATCTGTCTCTGATTTTTATTTATTTGGAGTGAAGGTCGTTGAAAGCTAAAGACAGTTTTTGAAGTTCTATAAAGGCTTCATAACTGATCTTTCATGGCTGACTAAACCATTTCTCTATGCTTGGAGTAATTCTTCAAAAAATCCAATTTTCTGATTGAAAATTATAAAACACGTGTGATGATTATTTCTCTGAAAGACTGACGTTTTTTTACTGGTAACAATTTTATATAATAAATTTTCAAGGTATGTAAAGTGAACTAAAGAGGACACTTTCTCTCTGAAAGATAATTCATATAAAAGAAAATTTCTCTGAAGTGGATTATAGTGATTCATGACAGGAGGAACGGAAAGGAATATTTTTTTCTCGCTTAAGCTGTCTGAAATTCATCTATTCTTTCTGT